CCTACTCGAGCCCGCAACCCAGGCATGTGCCTTTGACTGGAATTGAACGTGGGACCCTTCAGTCCGCAGGCCAACACTCTATCCACTGAGCCAAACCGGCTAGGGCTGTTTTAGTCTTTAAATGGAAATATTTGGCTTAGCTGGAACTTTTTGGTAAATGAAGTGAGTTAGGGATATATATATTTTGTTTAATCAAAATGACTAGCCAGTTAAGTCATTACAGTTTTCCCCACTGGCAGTCTTTTTGAGAGAGAATGCTTTATCTTGACAGAATTCTGGGAAAAACAGATCAGATTCTCTCATTAAGTGATAAAACATTTAATGAGTAGATTTGAACAACTCACTTAACAAGCTTTATCTAGTGGACATAGAGAACAGTGGAAAATACACTCTCTTTTCAAGCATATATAGAGAGATTTATAAAATTGACCACATATTAAGCCATAAGGCACATTTCATCAAATTTCAAAGGGTTCATGTCATAAAACTGTTGTCTGTCTGTGTTATAATTAAAAGCTAGAAACCAATAAGCTATAAAGGTCCCTGTACTTGGAAACTTACAAATGCACTTCTAAATAATTTATGGGCCAAAGAAGAAAATAATGGACATGCTAAAATATTTAGACTGGACCAGTAGTTTAAAAAAATCAAAACTTGTGAATGCCTTCAGTGGGGTATTTAAAAGAGAATTTATACCTTAAGTGTTTAATTTTTCTTTTATTTTCTAATATAAGGAGCTTAGTTTACAAATGACAACCATATTTGTAAACTTGGATGAAATGGACGTATTCCTAGAAAATTGCTTCTTATTCAAACTGACTTAAGAAATAGAAACCAGACCTCTCCTATCTCTAATAGAGGAATTGAATTAGTGGTTAGAAAATCTTTCCATAAAATCATCTCCATTTTCTGTGTTTTTGAGTTTTTCTAGGGAGGGGACAAATGGGTCAGCCTGTGGCAGGGAGATTGGGAAATGTGAAAGTACTATATTCGTTGTTGAACAAAAACCCATAGGTGGTGTCCGCAGGTGCATGCGTATAGAACATGCCGCGAATTTTACACTTAATGTCTCATGTTGACTTTCTCCTTGTGGCTAGTCACTTGTGTTTACCAGTGACAATAGTGAGGTCCAAGTATATAAACAGGGCTCGCCTGTGATGTTGAGATCGGAGAGATGCTTTATTATTACCTTTGCTTGTCCTTCTAAATTGGTTAGTTAACTTTTAATATGTATGTTCTTCCTTTTTTTATTTCGTTGAAAATAAAAATGGAAAAAAGTAACAAGATGTGTTTCTAAACTTTGCACATATAGGGTAGGGCAAAAGTAGGTTTACAGTTTGTATGGAAAATAATACAATCTATATATATAAAAGCCCAGTGACCAGAACGGCGAAACAACTGGTGGCTATGAAACGCACTGTGGCAGCCAACCGGCCTGATTTGGGCCCCAATCGGGCCTTCCCCCTGGCTGCCCCCCACCCCCGTTGGCCCTGCCCCTGATTGGCTCCTCCCACCCCAATTGGGGCAGGGCCGGCTGGCCAACTGCCTGTGGCTTCCCCCCCACATTATAGTTGTTTTGTATGGAAAATAATGCAATCTATAATAATAAAAGCATAATATGCTAATTAGACCAAACGTCCTTCCGGATGACCTTTCAGACGAAGTCGAGGCTGCGAGGGCTGAGACAAGCCACTGTGGCTGCGAGGGCCAAGCCCCTTGCACGAATTTCGTGCATCGGGCCTCTAGTAATTAATAAATAATAATACAGATATAAGAATAAACTGGCTGAAACCGGTTTGGCTCAGTGGATAGAGCGTCGGCCTGCAGACTTAAAGGTCCCAGGTTTGATTCCGGTCAAGGGCATGTACCTTGGTTGCGGGCACATCCCCAGTGGGAGGTGTGCAGGAGGCAGCTGATCGATGTTTCTCTCTCATCGATGTTTCTAACTCTCTATCTCTCTCCCTTCCTCTCTGTAAAAAATTAATAAAATATATTTTTTAAAAAAAAGAATAAACTGTTTTGCATACTCACAACTGTACACCCACTTTTGCCACACCCTGTATTTCCAGCTAAGCCCAGGAGGCAAGGTCCCTGAGGTCTCTGGCCATTTCCTAAAAGGAGCCGCCAGCCAGGCTATTGTTTGTGATGACTTCCCGGCAGCCTTGTGTGATAGACAATCTTACTAGAGATATTATAAAGCTGCATTTTTGTTCTTAACACCCAGCGTTGAATTTATACCCCAGGGAATCAATTCGTCGTCCCCATTAGCACCTTTCTTTTGTGGGAGGGAAGGGGAATGAATGGGCCGGGGGGAAAGGTTCCTGACAACATTTTTCAAAGAAATGTGTTGGTATGGTTTGACATTTCTGTTTTTCCATTTTCCTAGGGTTTTGCGGCCTCCAGGTGGCGGATCCAACTTTTCATTAGGCTTTGATGAACCCACAGAACAGCCCGTGAGGAAGAACAAAATGGCCTCTAGCATCTTCGGGACACCCGAGGAGAATCCCCCTTCGTGGGCCAAGTCGGCAGGTATGGCTCATGTCTGATGCTGGTCAAGGGGAGGACCCAGCGCGAAACCACAGCTGTCACAGGGCTTGTGAGCCAAATCTAACTTTATCTTAAAGAGATAAACAGCAGTTAAAGCTCCTCATTGGAAAGACTGGGACCAAGTCCCGGGAAATACTGAGAGTTTATGGGATGGATCAGAATAAGGAGAGACGTCGGACAGGGTTACTCAGTCCCTCTGTCAACATTTTACGCCATCACTTAACCTCCCTCACACTGTTTGCTCATTTTGGAATACAAGACTAACTTATATATCGCTCGCTAAGAGGGTTTGCTTTAGGTCTTCCTATTATGTTCCTCAAGAAAGTGTCTTTTGATTCAGGTGCCAAGTCCAGTGGTGGCAGAGAAGATCCTGAGTTGTCTGCACCCCAGAGAAGGAACTCCTCAGAAGCCAGCTCTGGAGACTTCCTAGACCTGAAGGTCAGTGTGACAATCGGAGAAGAGGACAGGCTTCGAGGACATTTCGGTTTAGAAATCAGATTCCCCCCTGTCATTCTAAGAGCTTCAGTTCTTCCACTGGAGTTTTCCATAGAGGTTGTTGGGAAGGGACTGGGCAGTATTGGTGATGGATGACTGACAACTAGAGAGGGAAGTCAGAAAGTGAATAAACGTGACCTTGCTGTCCTGAGTCTCTCCGGCCGTTAGGATTGGCCTCTACCCTTCCGCGTTGGTTTTAGGACTTCTGAGTCACATCACACTCACTTCCTGTGTATCTCAGACATGGCGGTATTTCTGAGTTCAAGGACTGTTTACATTGTTGGCAAACGTTGTCCAGTTGTTTTGAGCTGAACTCAAGGACTGTAGCACCGCCCCAGAGTCCCCAGCTGTGTGTCTGGAAAGCTGGTAGAGTGTCCTCCGGAGGAGGGATTCCAGGGCACATGGAGGCGTCAGCCACCTGAGTGTGGGAGACTGTGGAAGGGGCTTTGGAATTGTTAGGTGCCTGTCAACCCCTAGGTCAGAAGCAAGAGAGGAAGGACAGATTCACTAGCTTCCCATTCTGATAAAAGGGCCTCTGAAATGCTAATTGATAGAGGTCATCAGTGTAGATGTTAAGATTTTTTTTTAAATTTCTATTGGTTAGATGTTAAGGTTTGTTAAATTTTGGGTGTGTACCTGGCACCGGGGCAATTTGTCCAGCATTGTCCCTGGTTGAATAAAGGTTGCTTGTGATGCAGCCTGACCCTGCCCTTGACCGCATCAAAATGAAAACACTTGGTTTCAAAGACACAGTAATCTCTCTGAACTGTGACTGCTTTATTTGTATGTTGCAAAATTAAAATCCGGAGTAAAATTTTAATCTCTTTTCTTTTCCAGGGAGAAGGTGACATTCATGGTGAGTACTTCCGAAGCCCAGATTTCTGGTTCTGTAAACGGTTTTAGAATAGAGTGGAGCCCTGGCCAAGCGACTCAGTTGGTCTCGTCACTGAAAGGTGGCAGGTTGATTCCCAGTCGGGGCACAGGCCTGGGTCGCGGTTCCATCCCAGGTTGGGGCATGTACTGTAGGCGACCGATGGATGTTTCTCTCTCTCCCTTTCTAAAATCAATGAAAGAATAGATTGGAATTTTGATTCAAGTCACGTCCTGGGAAAGAGATTGGGGACTGCACTCTAGCTTTGCCCGAGTGCCAGCATACTCTGGGTGGAGGGAAGAAAAATGAACAGGGAAGTTAGCGAACATGGCCACATTCGGTACGGCCAGCCGTGAGAGCAGTGCCAGAAGTGTGTGAGAAAGGATTGAAAAACTAATCCTTTACAAATATATGTACATTATTCAGGCTGGTGTCTGTTACACTTAGTGAGAGCTTTTTAGTAAATGGCTCTGGCAGTTCAAGTTGGCCCATGGCATTGAGCTTTACAAAGGTTGTTTGATTTTTTTTTTTTTTAATATATATACTAAGCTGCTTATTTATCGAGACAATGGAAACCTTATAAATGGTGATTTAGGGGGCAGATGTAAATTTTCATCCCTGTGGAAATGAGCTGTTGCCATTTAATGATTTTAATCTGTGAAGTATTTACTGGCATTTCCCTAACAAGCGCCAGGGAGTCCTGACAAGTGTGATGCGGAGTTGACACACACCAGGCGGCGGCAGCGGGTAAAAATGGACTCGTGGAATGCAGCTGTCAGGCCCTCTGGTCCTGCCGTGGCTTCCTCACGGCCTCTTCCTGCCATTACATTCTGTGCTGCAGCCTCCCAGGGAGTCAGATGTGTAAGAGCCACGTTCTTTTCTTTTTTAAAATGTTTTTATTGATTTCAGAGAGGAAGGGAGAGAGAAACATCAATGATAAGAGAGAATCATGGTTCGGCTGCCTCCTGCACTCCCCACGCTGGGGATTGTTAGAAATAATGCGAGCCCCCAAATTCAGGGGTCCTGGTAGAACACAAATCACACTCGGAGGCAGGCAGCAGGCAAGTATCTTTACTTCTGCACGCACGTGCTCTGCTTGGCTTTATAATCCCTGATGCACGTGACCTGTCCCTTGCTCTTGATAGGAGCTCAGGCGCACAGTCTTTCGCGATTGGCTAATTCAAAGGGAGGGGTTGGCCTTGGCTGTTTCAAGATGGCGGCCCCCAGGGGAGCTGCAAGCCATGCGGCCAACATGGCGGCTGTCTAAACTGTTCTTTGGCAGAAAAGATGATTTGTTTATTCTCACAGGATCGAGCCCGCACCCCGGGCTTCTGCCCTGACCGGGACTCGAACCGTGACCTCCTGGTCCATAGGTCGATGCTCAATCACTGAGCCAGGCCGGCCGGGCTCAGACGGTGTGTCTCCATGGGGTGGGGCGAGCTTTGAACCTCCCTGAGCATAACCCAGGCGCAGGCTCGTTGGACATATGCCCTGTGCCCCGGCCGAAGATAGGTTTGTGTTTTGTTCATGTCCAGTTTGTTTCATTTGAAAAGACTGTTCTGCAGGTAAAATATCTTCTAGGCTTTTCGATCCCACTGCTTTTAGTAATCCTGAAATACTTCCACTGTGAGACCTTATTTAGCCACAATCCTGACTCACTCATTTTGGCCAATGAATACAATTGGGGATTTGGGGAACCTGGAGAGTGTGTGAGATTCTTCGGGTAAATCTCACATTGAATTGTGTAGTATGACAAGTCCTTCCTCTTTTTTTCTCCCAATGTCATCCATTTTGCCACCTGATTATTTTGTGTTCCTGATAGCTGCTACTTTACTTTATTTGTCGTAAAATGACAAGGGGCCTGATAATTTAAGGCACATCTGGTGGAGTAGAGGTTAACCCCAATTCTGTTGCCAAGTTTACTTCAAAGCCAAGCCATTCTGCTCTGTTTAAACAAAACAGATTTTGTTTGGATATAAGGAAAATTGCCTTCGTCTTGTGGGCAATTAAACAGGAGTGGCCACAGGGAGAACTTTGGAAATGTATAAGAAAGAGGACATGAAGGCCTGCTGTTTTTAGTCTCCATATGTGCTTTTTTTTTTTTCTTCGCTAATTTTTTTTTTTTTAATGCTGTTACCTCGTTGTGAAAGAGAACAGTTCCATTAATAATAAACGAAAGAAGATGGGTGGAAATGAGCTTGATTGAGCTAAAAATCACTCTGTGGGAATTAATTGCCATGGTAGCGCTGCAAGGTAATTTTGTGTCCTTTAGAAGTGCCTGTTAGCTGCTTGGCCCCGACAGACAGTGGAGAATCAGGTAGATGTGTACAGCGGGGAGGCCAGGCCATGTCCTCGCAGCAGGAATGAGACTGCTCGCCTCTTGGCTCAGCCTGAGTTCATGCTCTGTATTCATCTATTTTGAATTGTTTTTAAAATGTGGGTTTTGGGAGTTTTGTTTGTGTTTGTAGTACATCGGACATGTTTTCTTAGGTTATGTAAGGGACACTTATTGTGGGACTTGGGTACTTGATGGTGATGCATGTGATCCCGTTGCTTGGGTAACAAGAGTGTAGCAACAGGAACTGAAGGATAATGGACCCTTTCTCCCCAAGCGTCAGTTCATAACTATAAGGGCTGTCATCTTGGAAAGCCTCCTATTAGAGTTTTACTTGTAGTTCAATACTATCGAGCATTATGTGTGTCATATCATGTTACTTCTGCAGAATGTTCCAGAAATTCATCAAATGCCATGTGACTAGCAGCAGTAGCTTGTGTCTGAGATTTTGGTGTGTTTCTGATCTAAGACCACTTCTCCCTTGGACTTCTCAGTTTCAGTCGGCTAAATAAAAGCTTGGTACAAGTGGTTTTAGGAACATGAACTTTTAATGTTTGGTCTTTGAAGAACTTAGAGAAACTATGTATTTTTTCAAAATTAGAACTTTTCATTGGTGTCCAGTATGAGTCCATATGGAGTTCCTACATAGTATATAGCAGAACCAATATTTCGGCTTCACTGCTTCCGGGGTTCGGAACTCCCAAACTAGGAGGGAATACATGTCTTTAAGCCCTGGCTGGGTGGCTCAGTTGGTTGGAGCGACATCCTGTACGTCAAAAGGGTGTGGGTTCTGTTACTGGTCAGGGCACATCCATAAGTTGTGGGTACGATCCCCAGTTGGGGTGCATACAGGAGGCAACTGATGGATGTTTCTCTCTCACCTCTCTCTAAAGTCAAGAAAACATATCCTCGGGGGAAGATTGGAAAACTTTTTTCTAAGTTTTTGGTAGCTTTTCTCCCATGCCTGCTACTAAAGGTGCCTCTGTGTGTGATTATTCTAAGGCAGGTATTAGAATACTCAACTGAATGTGGTCTAACACTGAATGAAATGAGACCTGGATTTTCTTTAAAAATTAAAAATCGAACATGCCTTAAAACTATGAAACTCTTCTTAGAAGTTACCTTCCACGGAAAATTCTGAGTTTTTTCTCTTGCAGTTACTCTTGACTTTGAATCAATGACGTCTCTGATTTTGTAAACTACCTGGTTAAGAATATATGCTTTTTGGGAGTTTCACAAATCAGCCAGTGAATCAATCAAGCAATATCCAGGATTTTGGACAATACTACACTAATTCTAAACACTTTAATATGGAAAGTGCCCAGTTAATGAGAGATGGGAGTGACCTGGTTAATGGAGGTGTTATTACAAGCCAGTAAGGGAAAGGTGGACTCATTAATAAATGTTGATGGTACAACTGGCCATCTGTGTAGTTAAAATCAACCTCACCCAGTTATCATGGACATGTAACATACAACAGGAACGCAGAAACATTCCCCACCCATCAGTCTGGCAAATATTAAAGCAAGGAGGTTACCAAGCGGTGCATATGCAAAGGTGTTAGGAGGGCATACATTGCTTTGACGGGGGGCACAGCCACTTGGGAAGGTGCTGGGTAGTGTTTGCATTACAGTTTTGTTTGCAGTGCTTGGGCCGGTTGCTCAGTAGAAGACTGGATATATATAAACACACACACACACACTAAAGCACTTTAATTAAGCAAGGTGAATTATGACCGTGTGTATAAATATGAGTAAATTTGCAAAAGAGTGAAAAAAAAGAAAGTTGATATTATGTTAAACACAGGGAAAACAGTATTATATGTCACATGCTGGATATAAAATACACGTAAAATATGCCTAAAACAAACCCTCTGGGGATAGGGCGAGGAGACCCACGTGGAGGTGGGTTAGGAGTCAGGGATCTAGAGCTTGTCTGTGATGTTCTAATTTACAATATTCATGTCTTTCTTGTTTGTGTAATTGAGAAAAGAACACACACAGAACAGGGCCTGGGGACAGATATGGCAAAACACAAACCGTGGTAAATTCTGGGTGGTGGGGACATGGTTGGTGGCGGTGGTTTGCTTCTTTCTGTCTCTAGGTATGTTTTGAATCTTCCTAAAAAACAAACAACTTAGATCCTTCAGTTTCCCTGGGAATCGCTGTCAGCCTTCATTTCATTCTGTCTCCATAGAAAACGTGGACGTAGACTTGCAGGCCAGCCTGGGGCAGAGCGAGGAGAAGCCGGTGCCCGCCGCCCCTGTGCCCAGCC